TTCAGGATTGCAACGATATGTGTGGGACAGCGTTTCCAGATTGTTGGCAAAGCATGCAGCATCCAAATTTCGCGGCGTTATCGCCATCCAAGCCGGGAAACCATACGTAGGCAAAGGCCAGTGCCTGCATCGTAACGACTCGGTGTGCATGGTGAAGCTCGCTCAGGATGGCTGATGGCGATATTTTAGGGTTCACAACCCGTGCACACCACAGCAAACCTCCATGCTGGTGGCTCAGTTCAGTCATTCTATAGCAAAAGGGTTTAAGTCTTCAGGTGTGTCAGGCCATCCAAAGTGATCGTACCGCGGTACAAACGCCAATAACTGATCCTTATCTGTCTTGTCACGTATAGCTGCGGACGTGATAGGAGCCTGGTTGAAGAGCTGTATTAGATTCACAAGTTCCTGCGGAGTATAGCCGTTTGTAGGGCATCCGGTAAGGGGAGTCGAATAAGAACGTCAGCGGAGGTATTCGGTCTGCTCGGAATATACTGAAGCTGGTGTGTGTAGGCAGATAAATAAATATATAAATATAGGTATATTTCTAGACAAGCGCTAGATACTGTTCCTGCGTGGGATCAGATCAAATTGTACATAATATCCATGCTCATGCATGGAGAAGAAATATCGTGTTTATCTTTCCGAACAGTAAAGCAGGGATAAATACAAACGTTTCGTAGGCCTCGACATTTTTGAAGGCAGTAGTTTGGGTCTCCGTAGCTTATGTATGAATTCTGCGCTTTTCACCGGCTACCGCTACCAAACCTTGAGGTGCCTGATTCCATTAGTAATCGATCAATCTAATATGCCAGTGGATTGTGTTATTTTCGATGGAAAATGCACCACTAGAGGAAATTTTGTCCATTTTCTTTGGTCACATCACCGCATTTCGAGCATCCATTAGTAGCGGGCTCATGGAAAGGAATAAGCAAGCCAAAACTAGGTCGTAAAAGTGGAGGGTGGAAACAAAGGAAATAACAGTAGTGGCTAACAAGTTAGCCTTTCTGAGAAAAGTGCGACTGAAAGGCCGGCCCACTTAACTAGAAAATACACTAATATTGGAAAATGGAGGCAAAATATAGCCCAGAAACAGCATACCAGAACCGCAAACCTGGCGCGGATTTCAAAGTGTTAATCTCCAAACAAGCGGAATCAACGCCGTTTTGGAGCCAAAGTGTTAACTACAACGGGACAACAATGGGCGGCCTAGGACAAACCCTAGGCGCTGGTTACGAAAAAGGTAAAATAATTAAGCTAGGTGCAGTGGTTATGGAGATATTTGCATTTTTAGCGGTCGGCGGCGGATAGCGCCATTTTCGAGCCTCCGCTAAATTCACGTTCTGCTTTGGAAGCAGATACAGAAAAAAGAAAGAAATAATACAAAAACGGCTAGGCGTAATAAGTTCCGAATATGGAGTAGTAACTGGGAATGTCTAAGTTAACGTGTAATTCGCTGCAGTAGCGAAGTATGACGCAGTGGGCCGAAAAGCATACTTTCTCAGTAAACGTAGTAAATGTTGGGAAAACAGACGGAAAGTTTTCAGGGAAATACTAGGTAGGCTGTAAGAATTATTATATAGGTAGAACAGCACAGGATATGGTGTAGCTAGCCCACAGCCAGAATGCGACCATGTGCGATTTTCAGAGTATATTGGGCCGCAGAATCCACTACGAATGTGGAATTCAACGTTTTTAACGCTCCGATGTGGATGCGAAAATTATACCAAAGCCTCATGAGCTGAGTCCATATGGATAAGACAAGGGAACGTAAAACTCATTTGCCCCGTCTGAACTAGGATAACGCAAGCATTTCCTACAAAAATATTACCAGTTTCGACTCTTTGAGGCTATTTTATACGTCGTAATGGTTGTATCACTAACCCTAATGAGACAGGGTGGTCTTCCAGTGATAATAAAAAATCTAATGTGAGAAAATTTACAAAATGTGTCCAGGTGAGAAACACCTTGGGTTCCGCTTTGGTTAGACACAAATACCACTTCTTTTGGTGGTTGCGCCATCCCATGCATGACTGATTAGTGGGCCGCAGGTGCTAAAGCACACGACTGTGCAGTAAGTTGCTAGTTTAGAGCTCTATTTCTCTTAGCTGAGAGTCGGATGCAAGTGCCTGTAGTGTTGGACCAGAATAACGCAATCGTTCCCTAAAGAAACATCATCAGTTTCAGCACTTTGAGGTTATGTTATATATCTTAATGGATGTGCCACCAATGCTAATGAGCTAGAGGTGCCTTCTATTGATAATAGAGAAATAGGTGTCCAAAAAATTAGCGAAATGCCTTCAGGTGGGAAATACCACGAATGCCGCTTTGGTTAGGCAGGAGCACCTCATCTTATAGAGGTTGCACTTTCTCATTTGTGACGGATTATTGGGCCTCATGTGTTAAAGCACACCATTTCTGCATCGCGTTGCTATTTTGAGCTCCAACTCTCTTGGTTGGGAGTCCGATGCAATTGCAAGTGATATTCACCAGTGTAAGGTAATAGAAAACTGGGAGATCACAACAGCTATTAACTTGGAGGTTTCGTGGTAGGAAGCTTCCACATTGTCAGGCAACGTGAATGAACAATAATATAACGCAAGCAGAGAAAATAACGGAAAACAAGTAGGAGCTGGTTGTTCACCCACCATTACGCATTACGTATGGTAGGCTTTGGAGCCAGGTAAAGGTTAAAATTACGTACGAACGGCCAAGGAAAGAAGAAGTGGTGGTCAAAATATCTAGGTGTCTAGCTTTCCAAGTGACAGGGGCCTTAGTGCCGCATGTTTAGCTTTTTGCCAGATAAATGGAATCCAGAAAAATTGTTGTGCAAGCATAAAGGATTGAAGAAAAGGATCTGGTTTTTCATAACGCCTGTCTACCAGCGTTTCCGATAGTGATAGGCATACGTATAACTCAGATAAAACTAAATGTACGGGCCAAAGAAGCTTAAGTGGAGAGTAAATGCCTGAATATAGGTTATGGTGATATTGCCTTCGAGGTGGGTAGGTGGCCCTGTTATATAATCAGCGGTGTAAAGTAGCGAATACTTAAACCTAGGGGAGGGCATCGGTTATGGGCAACTAGTAGATGCCGATTACGTAGGCTTGTAGAGTAGGACTAGTCTATACTAGTCCGAGAGTGTTCTCGCGCTGGTAGATGTCAGAAAAGCAGAAAGACGGACACAACGGATTGTATTCGCGGAAGGCTACAATCGAACGAAAAACGAATGAAGCGACGAGAGCGTACGTCAGTGCCGGAACTCACCGTGGAGATAAGTGGTGAGCCGGATGCAGTTCATAATGGCCGTAGAGTCGGCATTAAAACAAAAAGCAATATTTTATGACTGAGTAATAAAAGTGTACAAAAAACAAGGAATATCTTTTGGGTTGCTACAGTAGAAATACCTATAAAGCGGGCAAATTATACGACTAGTTTAGAGAGATAAATGGTAACTTACGGGTGCACCATATGTGTGGACAACAACGCTAGAACCGGGCATTTCACATGAGGCTTAATGTTGTTAAAATGTTTTTAGTAGACGTAACTCATGGGTCACAGGTATAAGTATTCGCAAAAGACCAAGTGGAGGAGGTGCAAGTAGTCGGACGGTGCGTCTGCCAACCGAAATACAGGGCTGATTATCGGGGCATCTGAAAGGACACCATCAAACCTGAGTTTCGTATGATCATCTAAAATTCTGTTGCGACCCGCGTCGACAAGCAATCCGAAATAGCGGAGCAAATCGATGCCGATAATTGCGAAAGGTACTGACGCAACCGTGAAAACCCAGTAAAATTCTCTGCGGAGATTTAAATCTAGGTTCATCATGCGCTGACCGTATGAAGCTATCGGCGAGCCGTTGGCTGCCCGTAGATTGTACGTGGGCTTTGTATGCTTGTCATGCGCGCTGGCAGGGATAACGCTCACTTCGGCTCCTGTGTCGATAAGGAAAGTGAGGCGAGAGCGCCTATCCTTGACGTAAAACAGACGGCCTGTTTTGTCGCTGCCGGACGCGTGGGCCGCATTCACGTGCCGGCGAACTAGTTTCCCTGTGCCACTACACCACGCTTGGCGCAGGGTGAACGGCAACGTCGAGCGTTATCACCATACTGTCGATGATACCAACACAAATCATCGATTAAATTGGCACTTCGGGTTCGGCTGCGAGGGGGTGATGGACTGCGTCTGCGCGGTGACCTGGATCTGTACGGTGGGGGTCGGGGCTGATAGGCACCGTGACGAACGGCGGCAATTTCGTGGTCAGCGTGAGGTCTTAGTAAGCCTTGTCTTTCTAACTGCACGGTTGCTAATTCACGGCGAAGTGCGGCTATCTCTTCGTCTCTGGGGTCTGCTTGCGCGGGCGCTTTTGCATTCAAGTCTTTATCCGCTAATGTGACGAAAATGCTGCTGGGTGCCTTCATGTTTTGAGGGATTCTCTCAAAGGCTGCGTCCGCGGTTATGGCCAACTCTTTGAGTGATCTATTTGGATTTGCTACGAGCATTAAAGGAAGAGGATCAGGTAAACGTGAGAGCCACAATTCTTTTAATGCCTCTTCACTCATGTACGAAGGGCCAGCAATCTGTTGAATATCGCGGAGCAAAACTGAAGGCTTGCGATCGCCTAGCTTAGTGCTATGAAAGAGTTGCTCCAATCGAGCACGAGCGCTGGGTTGCGACTCCTTTAGAATCAACTGCTTCATTGCTTCGTATTTACCGTCTTTAGGTGGGTGAAGCAGTACGTCTTCGACCAATGTCACCACCTGTTGCGGAAGGCGTGGGACGAGTTGGTTGTATTTAGCTTGGTCGGAAGAGATCCCTCTGTTTTCTAACTCTATCTCAAAAATGGCGAACCAGACGTTGGGCTTGTGTGCCATAAAATCCGGAACAGCCAAGGTGAGCAAATTCATGCTGCCGCCCGATCCGGGTTTTACATCAGCGTCAGACATAGTATATAAATAACACGAATGGTTTTAAAAACGAAATGGACGGAAAACAATCCACCAGGGATTATGAAAAAAAACAACTCGGAACGAACTCACCGAAAAACGAGACGATCAAAAAAGTTGAAGATTCGCGCGTGCGAATCGGGGTCACCAATTTATAGGACTAGTCTATACTAGTCCGAGAGTGTTCTCGCGCTGGTAGGGATGCCAGAAAACCAGAAAGACGGACACAACGGATTGTATTCGCGGAAGGCTACAATCGAACGAAAACGAATGAAGCGACGAGAGCGTACGTCAGTGCCGGAACTCACCGTGGAGAAAAGTGGTGAGCCGGATGCAGTTCATAATGGCCGTAGAGTCGGCATTAAAACAAAAAGCAATATTTTATGACTGAGTAATAAAAGTGTACAAAAAACAAGAAATATCTTTTGGGTTGCTACAGAGCTCCCCTCCTAGAAGGCTGAACGAAGAAGCCTTCGAAATCAACTGGTTGTGGATCCAAGTTTGCAAAAGGTTCTGGTATACAAAGAAGAGTCTGCTCGGGTTCGAAAAAAATGTAGCCGAAAATTTGTATCCGCTGTGCCGTCCGGTCTTTATTATTTATTGATTGCAGGGCAGGGTGCATTTCGGCGAGCCGTTGGAGCGGGCTTGTCGGACTACAAAAAAACTGGCTAGTCCAGAAAAAGGCCGACAGGACCTCAACCTCCGCTGCTGCCAAACGGTGCGCTTGGGAGTGGTCTCTCCCCCCGCCGCACCCCGCCCCGCGCCAAAACGACCCTCGTCCCACGAAGAAAACGACCATGGTCCCACGGAGAAGCGACCCTCGTCTCGCGGAGAAGCGATCCTCGTCCCGCGGAGAAGCGATCCTCGTCCCGCGGAGAAGCGACCAGTGTTCGCGTCAGGGTCCTCGAAAACATTCCTCGTGTGGGCCAGTCGATCGAAGGGGAGGGTTGGGGCATGTAAAGACGAGAAAATAGAAAAACACGCGCAGAAAACGCCAAAAAGAACAAACGAATGAGCTGCGTGTTTAAATATTTTTTGGTTTTTGAATATTTTTTCGAAAAAGGTTTTTCGGGGGTTTTTGATATTTTTGTTTGTTTTCAAAACGTTAATCGACCAAAAATGAGGCAAATATATACAATATCTACAAAGTTAAAAGTATTTACACTGTACATAGTCGGAGAAGCGAACGGGCTTACGTACCTCCCGACCACGGCGATTGGTCGTGGGAGGCGGCGGACTAGGTTCGGGTGATGTCGGGACTGCTGAAGCTTGCAGACCGTGATCGTGGTCTGGTTGGACTTCACTAGCATGCGGAAAATTGGTACGGTGAGTTGTGACGTCGCACGAGGCACTACTAGACGAAGTAGGCGAGGTAGTTTCTTCCATAAAGGCGGGTTTCAGACGGTCGATGGTGACGACTTCGTGTCGACCACCGCGGTCAATAGTGTACGCCTTACTCGCACGATGCAGCACCTTGAAGGGTCCTATGTACGGCGACTGAAGAGGCTGTCGAACACCGTCTGCGCGAAGAAGGACGTGTGAACACGTAGACAGCTTCTCGGGCACGTACACTGGTGTCTTCTGCGATCGAGGAGCGGGTGGACGTAGCTCACGCATCTGGTGAGCCAATCGGTCAGTGTAACTTCCGTAGTCAAAAGTGGAAGTACATGGGGCTGGTGCTACCAGCTGTCCGGGCAACCGCAGCGTGCAACCGTAGACTAGCTGCGCTGGTGTGGCGTCGAAATCGGTTTTAACCGTGTTTCTTAAGCCTAGGAGAACGAGGGGAAGCGTTTCAGACCATGAAGGATCTGCGTGCGCACGTAGCGCTGCCTTCAACTGGCGGTGAAAACGCTCCACCATGCCGTTAGCGGCCGGATGATACGCCGTCGTCTGGACGTGGCGACAGCCTAAATCCTTAAGCAACGTGGCAAATGTCGACGAGAAATGTGACCCTCGATCGGTGGTCACGATGGCGGGACAGCCGTATTGAGCTACCCAGCGCTCCATAAAAGCTTTCGCTACAGTTTCCGAGGAGCAATTTGGGATGGGGACGGCCTCAGGCCATCTAGTAAATCGATCGATGCAGGTCAGTAGATATACCGAGCCTTTGGAAGGCGGCAGAGGACCTACGAGGTCGACGTGCACGTGATGAAAACGTGCGTCTGGCGTCGGAAACGTGCCTAATGGGCTTCTCGTGTGCTTGTGCACCTTCGCGCGTTGACACGGAAGGCAAGCAGCTGCCCAGGTACGGACGTCCCGATTAACATTGCGCCAAACGAATCGTGCGGTTACGAGTTTAACCGATGCACGAACGCCTGGATGAGACAAGCCGTGCAACGCGTCGAACACGGTCTGCCGAAACTCGCGTGGGACGACTGGGCGCGGCGTGCCCAGAGATAAATCGCAGAGTATCGTTCCGTCTGATGATGTCAGCGGAACGGGTCGTATATCCAATGAGGGAGACCTGCGTAGTAGATCAACCTCAGGATCGTTGAGTTGTGCTGTGGCCATGGCTGCCAAGTCGATAGCAGTGCCGGCGTCAGCGGAGATAGCTTGAATGCGGGAAAGTGCATCGGCGACGGCGTTGTGCACACCTGAGACATGCCGTATATCGGTCGTAAACTGAGCGATATAGTCAAGGTGGCGCGACTCTCTAGGAGAGTATCGGTCGGTAGTCGAGCCGAGCACGTAAGTTAGGGGTTTGTGGTCGGTGAAGACGACAAAGGAGCGGCCTTCTAGGACGTGTCGAAAGTGACGTATCGCTAGATATACGGCAAGTAGTTCTCTACCGAACGTGCTGTAGCGAGATTCGGTAGGTTGTAGGCGTTTGGAGAAAAACGCTAAGGGCTGCCACGTGTCGGCTACGCGTTGCTGCAAAACAGCGCCGACTGCGACGTCCGAGGCGTCAGTACTAAGGGACAGTGGGGCGGTCGGATCGTGATGCGCTATGGAAGCTATGTTGGCGATAGCCTCTTTCAGCGACTTAAAAGCAGCGCGTGCTGCGGTAGGAAATTCGAACGTCTTGAGTTTCCCTCGGAGAAGGTCCGTGAGGGGTTGCATCAGAGAGGCGCAGTTGGGTATAAATCGACGGTAAAAGTTGACAAGGCCATCAAAACGCCTGAGCTGTTTGAAAGAATGAGGCTCGGGGTAGTCGATAATGGCTTGAATTTTATCCTGCAGTGGCACGACGCCTGCAGAAGAGATACGATGGCCCAGGAAATTAACTGAATCGACACCAAACGAACACTTTTCTGCGTTGATCGTCACCCCGTGTTGAGATAAACGATCAAAAAGTGTTCGTACGTGGCGTATGTGCTCTTCTCGTGAAGAGCTTGCGATTAAAATGTCGTCAAGATACGCGTAAGCGAAGTCTAAGCCGCGACAAACTTGGTCGATGAAACGCTGAAAAGTTTGCGCGGCGTTCTTTAGGCCAAATGGCATACGCAGAAACTCGAACAAACCAAATGGAGTCGTCACGGCAGTTTTAGCGATGTCCGCTTCGGCTACCGGAATTTGGTTGTATGCGCGTACCAAGTCGATTTTGCTGAAGATACTTTTACCCGCCAGACTGGCGGTGAGATCCACTATGTGTGGGATCGGATAGCGATCGGGTGTGGTCACCGTATTCAAGGATCGATAGTCGCCGCAAGGACGCCAGTCCCCCACAATCTTCTTCGGGACCATGTGCAGAGGCGACGCCCATGGGCTGTTGGACGGTCTGACGATACCAAGTTGAAGCATGTGGTCAAATTCGGCTCGTGCTGCCCGTAGTTTGTCTGGAGCAAGCCGTCTTGGTCGTGCGCTAACTGGTTGACCGCGCGTAACTATGTGGTGAGCGACCTCTGTCGTGACTGGTGGAAGCTCTGCAGCCGGTCGAACCAGTCGCGGGTGTTCGGAGAGGAGGCTCAAGTAGTCGGACGGTGCGTCTGCGATCCGAAATACAGGGCTGATTATCGGGGCATCTGAAAGGACACCATCAACCCTTAGTTTCGTATGATCATCTAAAATTCTGTTGCGACCCGCGTCGACAAGCAATCCGAAATGGCGAAGAAAATCGATGCCGATAATTGCGAAAGGTACTGACGCAACCGTGAAAACCCAGTGAAAGTCTCTGCGGAGATTTAAATCTAGGTTCATCATGCGCTGACCGTATGAAGCTATCGGCGAGCCGTTGGCTGCCCGTAAATTGTACGTGGGCTTTGTATGCTTGTCATGCGCGCTGGCAGGGATAACGCTCACTTCGGCTCCTGTGTCGATAAGGAAAGTGAGGCGAGAGCGCCTATCCTTGACGTAAAACAGACGGCCTGTTTTGTCGCTGCCGGACGCGTGGGCCGCATTCACGTGCCGGCGAACTAGTTTCCCTGTGCCACTACACCACGCTTGGCGCAGGGTGAACGGCAACGTCGAGCGTTATCACCATACTGGCGATGATACCAACACAAATCATCGATTAAATTGGCACTTCGGGTTCGGCTGCGAGGGGGTGATGGACTGCGTCTGCGCGGTGACCTGGATCTGTACGGTGGGGGTCGGGGCTGATAGGCACCGTGACGAACGGCGGCAATTTCGTGGTCAGCGTGCGGTCTTAGCAAGCCTTGTCTTTCTAACTGCACGGTTGCTAATTCACGGCGAAGCGCGGCTATCTCTTCGTCTCTGGGGTCTGCTTGCGCGGGCGCTTTTGCATTCAAGTCTTTATCCGCTAATGTGACGAAAATGCTGCTGGATGCCTTCATGTTTTGAGGGATTCTCTCAAAGGCTGCGTCCGCGGTTATGGCCAACTCTTTGAGTGATCTATTTGGATTTGCTACGAGCATTAAAGGAAGAGGATCAGGTAAACGTGAGAGCCACAATTCTTTTAATGCCTCTTCACTCATGTACGAAGGGCCAGCAATCTGTTGAATATCGCGGAGCAAAACCGAAGGCTTGCGATCGCCTAGCTTAGTGCTATGAAAGAGTTGCTCCAATCGAGCACGAGCGCTGGGTTGCGACTCCTTTAGAATCAACTGCTTCATTGCTTCGTATTTACCGTCTTTAGGTGGATGAAGCAGTACGTCTTCGACCAATGTCACCACCTGTTGCGGAAGGCGTGGGACGAGTTGGTTGTATTTAGCTTGGTCGGAAGAGATCCCTCTGTTTTCTAACTCTATCTCAAAAATGGCGAACCAGACGTTGGGCTTGTGTGCCATAAAATCCGGAACAGCCAAGGTGAGCAAATTCATGCTGCCGCCCGATCCGGGTTTTACATCAGCGTCAGACATAGTATATAAATAACACGAATGGTTTTAAAAACGAAATGGACGGAAAACAATCCACCAGGGATTATGAAAAAAAAACAACTCGGAACGAACTCACCGAAAACGAGACGATCAAAAAAGTTGAAGATTCGCGCGTGCGAATCGGGGTCACCAATTTATAGGACTAGTCTATACTAGTCCGAGAGTGTTCTCGCGCTGGTAGGGATGCCAGAAAACCAGAAAGACGGACACAACGGATTGTATTCGCGGAAGGCTACAATCGAACGAAAACGAATGAAGCGACGAGAGCGTACGTCAGTGCCGGAACTCACCGTGGAGAAAAGTGGTGAGCCGGATGCAGTTCATAATGGCCGTAGAGTCGGCATTAAAACAAAAAGCAATATTTTATGACTGAGTAATAAAAGTGTACAAAAAACAAGAAATATCTTTTGGGTTGCTACAGTAGAAATACCCATAAAGCGGGCAATTTATAAGACTAGTTTAGACAGATAAATGGTAACTTACGGGTGCACCATATGTGTGGACAACAACGCTAGAACCTGGCATTTCACATGAGGCTTAATGTTGTTAACATGTTTTTATTAGACGTGACTCATGGGTCACAGGTATAAGTATTCGCAAAAGACCAAGTGGACTAGGTATTTGGAAAATACTAGGGGGTAAATATGGAGACGAAGGAACCAAATTGTAGAAGAGAAGGAAGAAGTGAAGTAAAGTTTGTCCGTTCGGATTGCTTCCCCATTGCTATGCAATATTTTACCTGGTCAGTGCCTACAGGCTTACGATGCTCTCATTCAATAGTACAAGGCTGCTTTACTTGCTGATCTGTTGAGCAGTAAGAAACTGGACGTCGAGCAGTAGCTTCCAAAGGATTTGAGCTACCGATTAGTGTTTCCAGGTTGCCTTTGCGGTAGCGTCTTCTATTTCAAGACTTCCTATTGATCTAAGTGTCGGTGGGAGCCAGTAAAGCGCTCAGCTACTACTGGGGGAGGCTGAATACTTTTTGTGGTCGGATTAGCAGTCCTAACATCTGTAAGATGCGTGCAACTGATCGGGCCGAGATCTCTCACGTGGTGTGACAGGGACCGCAAAGTATGGGGAGGACCTGTGAGCCCAAGATGCTCCTGTCATGAAGCCTAGTTGAGCGCAATACAAAGTTGCGCCAGAGCAGACCAAAATGTGATCTATGCCCCATCGGGGCCGGTGTCATAAAGGCTGTCATCAGAATCACAGATGTTGAAAAGGCGTCTTATGTTATCCAGACACATAAACGTTCGTACCTCCTGCTTGAAAGCCTGTGGATTGCGAATCTCCCGCAGCTGTGAAGGTAATTTGTTCCAGATATTTACATAAGCGACAAGGAAGAATCGTGAACGTAGTTTCTTCCTCGCTGGCAGCGGGGCAACTGTGCAGTGCTTGTTTCGGAGGTTGAATTCTGATCCTCTTCTCAGTGTCAGGCTGGGGGTATCACTGTGCACCGTTTGGTATATTAACTTTTGTAAGAAGCACAGGTTTAAGATGATGCGCCGCAGCCATAGAGGCTGGAGTTTAAGATGGTTACACCTCTGTAGGTAACTAAGCGCTAAGTCTTGTGGGGCTACTATTTTGGTAAACCGCCGCTGGGCCTTTTCGAGCAATATGCGGTCTGATTTCTGCAAATTACTGAAGATGAAGGGGCAGTATTCCAGCTGCGGACGAACATGACTGCGGTTAAGCTCCAACCGTGCTACAGCCGAGTTAATGTGGCGGCCTATGTGGAAGACCATTCTGCGTGCTTTGGCTACCTGACACTGCACATTCTCTGAAACGTTGAGGGTCATAGAATAGCGAATACCTAGGTCAGTAGCTAACGTTTTTAGTTGGATGGGCGTACCATTCAACGTAAACTCACCATCCGATATGGAGCATTTGTGGGTCAGAATACTAGATTTATCAGCAGAGAATGTCATTTGCCAATTTTGACACCACGACTCTAAGGACTTCAGGTCTTCACGGATCTCTTGCAGTGCGGATACTTTGGCGCTTGGTGGGAAGATATATACGACCTTTATATCGTCGGCAACGAGGAATGGGCGACCATGGCGCTGGCTGCTACAGATGTCGTTCACATAAATCAAAAACAGGGTTGGTCCAAGCATGCTGCCTTGCACAACACCGCTGGAAACTGTGACAGGGATGCACTCAAAGTGTGCTACCTTCACGGACTGCGTACGCTCTGTTAGGTAGGATTTAAGCCAGTCAAGCAGAGGGGTGACTACACCGTAAGCCTTGAGCTTATGTAATAGGCGTTTATGGGGGACCATATCGAACGCCTTTTGCATATCGAGGTATAGCGTAGTAATCGTTAGACCTGAAACAATCGCGCCAGTGACCAGGTTGAGAAAATCAAGCTGGCAGTTTGCGCAGGATCGTGCGTTTAGAAAACCATGCTGTGACCTGCTAACGTGGCCTCCTGCATTCAAGCAAGCCATAAGCGCACGCTTAATCGATTTCTCCATCACACGCGAGAGAAAAGATGTGTGGTTTATGGGTCGGTAGTTGTTGACTTCCTGTACGGAGCCACCTTTATGTCGCCGTGTGATGACAGAGTGATTCCAAGCCAATGGGTATTGGCCCTTCTCCATAGAGAGTGTGAAGAGTTTCAAGAGGAGTATGGAAAGGTCATCGCCCCCATTCTTAAGTAGTATGGGTGGAAATCCATCAGGACCAAGTTTGGTGGATGGTTTTATGGATTTGATAGCGGAACGGATGCATTTTAGATCGAACTGAACCGTGGGGAGCAGCTGGTTTGTGGACACATCCAGATAGAATGATTGACCAGCTGATACTTCTGGGGGCGGCCAATTTTTGAGTTCCTTTTGTGCCCGAGGAGCGTGTTAAGTAATTTATGATCTACTTGACTGACGAAACGCTTGCCGAGTAAATACTGATGGCATCGGTTGATCCCGAAGATGACTACGGTTACCTCCGGAGGGAGCTGAGAGTAGCTCCTTTTGGCTCTGGTGAAGGTTCATGAAGTGTAGGCAACTGATCGCTGCGAGCCAGCGAATAATTTAGGTAACAAAGCAGCTCCATTGCCGTAAGAAGAAGCCTCAAAAGGAAAACCATAGGCACCCATGCATCTTATGTGCAAGGACCCCAGCGGACGCCAAAAGATTTTTATTGCGTTAGAAAAATTATCGTGAACAGTGTCCGTCTTCACGGCTGATTCTTGTACAAAAGTTGCTGAAGAAGCTGTAAGTGAATTGGTGCTGCTGGTATTAACTTGGAGAACTGTGCGGCTGCTTTTAGAAAGGAGCGTAGTTCGTCTATTTTTGGGTGCTGAGGCTTAATCCGGGGGCCCTGGTTTTCTCTTCTAGCGGTTACAACCCCTTGCGCAATAGTTTGTACCCAAGGTATTACGCACTGGGTCAACAGTGTAGATTACAGTTTGTAAGTCTTGTCTCGGGTGTAGCTGCAACTTTCAACATGTCTATGCCCTTCGGTACCGAGGCTGTGACGCAGTGAGTTAATTTTTGATGCCTTGTCAATAGCATTGTTACTGCCAAAAGGTACAAGTAAATCCAGGTACTTTGTAAAAGTAGTCTTCCGCTACGTCTATTGCTGCGTAGTAGGTCTTTCCGCAAAGTAGTTCCAAAACGGCTGAGATGAAGTGATTGAATTTGCAATAAGAGCTCAAATAACCCTCAATTTATTACATCCAGATGAAGCATAACAACGCCGGGGCAACTTAGGAATAACGAAAGCCATGGCGCAAGCATAGTAGTGCATGGATAACAGTACATGCACGGAACACGTCTGAGGACAAAACTGCGATGCCGACCTGGACACGGCATCAACACAAAACAAAGAACTCACTCTCACTTCACAATCCTGACACACTAAAGAAACCCAGAAAACAAATCAAATCAACACAAGTCACCGTAGTCATCCGACTTCAACAGCACCAACCACTTGCGATCGACTCCGAAGCAGACTACACAACCATAGGAAACAAATAGGCGAAACCTGACTGCGAATATCCGCGAGGGTAATGGGTCAGATGCAATCTTGGCCATGTCACAATACCAGCCGGCAGTGTTCCAGGACGTGGTGGGTTTACGTCTGGCAAGCGTTTACCCTACAAAAAGCCACAAATGTCTGTTTAACAAAACTACGACGCGGTGGATGTGACTCGCCATTCCATAAAGTCACTGCCCCAATTACACAGTGGCAAGTTGACCGATACCACATTTACAAATGTTGTGTATATATCCGCTCTCGTACGAACACGCCTACATATTCTTAAATATTTTTGCAGCTTCTTCCTCATGCTTCACTCACTTGACTCGCCCTGTACACACAACCTCATCGAACTAGTTCCTCATCAACATACCCCATATTAGTGATCGACTTCTTATCTCTACATCACGCATTCCGTGGACATGGACTCCGTACAACCTTTGGGCCATATGGGCCAACATTACTGGCTCCAAATGTACTACTCCCGCTCTTGGTGCTGCTAAGCATGCTATCATGTGCAATATTGCAATACGTTGATCACGCCCAAAAACCTTGCCTTGCTTTGTCGAGAATAAATTTATTTATCTATTTATTTACAGGGAATGTATAGAAGCAAACAGCAAGCAAACAAGTAACAAATGTGCTGAGTCCAGTGTTCGATCAGACAAAGAGGCACTTGGCCGATGAGCGTAATGAGAGGAAGGACGACACACAGACTTAGTGATGCACACACACGCACGTATATTCGCAGTCAGTAGAGGTGACACGGAACGCTTTCTGTGGGCGCATCAGCCATATGCTGTGCTCGCGTGAGCACACGTGCTGAGGTGCACGATGCCAAGGGACAGACGCAGTCGACCTAGTGCTCACCCCACAACTTGTGGGACCGTACGACAGTTATGAGGTTTCCTACAGCGGTGCGTTTTGCAGATGAGGTTTCTGGGCCCCGAAGGAATGTTGTCCAACACTGGCAGACCGTTTAAAGGAACTGGTATGTAGCTACCAGCAGCATTGCAATGGTGATAAGGCACATGCTTCTTTGCACTGGATAGCGGTAGGGCCTTTGCAAGTGCACGGCTCAGCAGCATGAAGTCTCAACACCGGAGAGTCATCGTTGAATGCGTAGCTATGCAATAGGGATACACAACATTCTTTGTCCTTGCTTGCCTCGGCGTACCGGCGGTAGGGACCCCGTGTTCTTAGTTCCGCAGCGCAATGCACTTGTGTCTCCTGGCTATCGCGCAACCGCAGCCAGGGGAAGTTTGGTGCGCTGTTACCCACTAAAATTTTTCTGATACTTCTATGCGAATAACAACCCGAAATCTGGGTGCACGGGAAAGTGACACATGCTATAAACATATCTTTAAACAACGTCTCTCTATCTGCAAATGTGAGGGAACTGCTGTATGTTAATTTGCCAATGGCGCAAGGTTTATGATAGC